ATGCAGGACCATTCAAAGGTGAAATGTTTCTGGTAGTGGTTGATGCATATTCTAAGTGGCTAGAAGTTCACCAGATGACATCCACTACGTCTACAGCAACCATTGAGAAACTACGCGAGATTTTTGCCACACATGGGCTACCGACAACAGTTGTCAGTGACAATGGAACAAATTTCACGAGCAATGAATTTGAAGAATTTATGAAACAAAATGGTATTAAACACATCAAAGTTTCACCATACCACCCAGCATCAAATGGGCAAGCAGAGCGTGCAGTGAGAATTTTTAAAGAGGGCATTGAGAAGATGAAGGAAGGAAGTATGAGAACAAAATTATCGCGATTCCTTCTGAAATACCGTATTACACCCCATACGACAACGGGTGTGCCGCCAACGGAGCTGTTGATGGGCAGACACCTGCGTACTCAGTTGGATCTGATACAGCCGAACCTTGGAGATCGGGTGAGGGAAAAAGAATCACAGCAAAAGGCAGTACATGACTATCATGCTAGAGAACGGATTATCAAAACCGGGAACCTAGTATATGCGAAAGATTTCAGGAAACCTAAAAGTTGGATGCCCGGGACGGTAGTGAAGAAGACAGGACCAGTGTCGGCAGAAATACAGCTTGATGATGGTCTAATTATCCGGCGTCACCAAGATCATCTCCGCATTCGCACCGATGTTCCTCAAACAACTATAGCGAGTGGATTGGAAGACATTCAACTACCAACCAGAGAGGTGAATCCTGCAGAACCACGGGAAGAACCCGAACTTGAAGCGAGAGCAGAACAAAGAAGACAACCTCATAGAGACCGTCGTCTTCCTCAACATTTGCAGGACTATGAACTAGCAAACAGCTAAGTTGAACTTGCTATAAACCATTATTTAATATGACATTTAGTTAAAGTTGACATTCTATTCTTGTTAGATACAGAGTAGTTCAGATTATTGGACACTGGAAAGGGAGGAGTGTAGTATCCCAGAATCCTTTGGGGGTTCGGGCCATTGTGTACTGAGAGACAGAACTGGGTGGTTATAACACAATGCATCACACAGTAGTCAATACATTTATATATAGTGTTGCGATAGTGTTGAATTTCCTCCATTTCATTCTTTACAACAATGCTACCACTGGGCGCTTCTTCCATCATTCGGTGTGTATGAATGTCTGTCAGGGCAAACAGGGTTTATTGGTAAATTAAAACAGTTATACAATCAGTTGGCTGATGTAATTCTATTGGTGGAAGTACACTATCCAGCTCATCTTCTACTGGGAATGAGGTTGCTGGGTCACATGGTGGGATTGCTTGGGATGTTGGTGATGTTGAAATGTCAAACTCCCACAACATAACATTGCTATATTCTTTGTTTATACCTCCTTCCCGTAGATCATTAGGGTCGAAGAACTACATGATATGAAATAAAAATACGTTTAATACTGCCGTATTTATACAACATAGGAGCATTTTTATATTTCTATTTTCTCGTCTATTTTTATATAAAAATCATCTCACCTTAAAAACACAACTAGAGTGAATTTGTACCAGTGGAGGACTACCGCAATCAGCGAACATTTCATCAATTTTTATCTCGTTAACCACAGCTGGACAAAGGACTATTCTTCGAACTATCTGTATTAAAAACTATAAACATGAACCTCACGTCCTCACGACATTCAAGTTCATCACACGGTAATTCTTCCGGAATCAAGATTAGAGGCTGTTTTGACACACAGTGAACACACAGAAGCTCGTGTCCACCCAAAAACGAAGCTTTCTTTCCATGCATAGTGCAAAAATCCACCATTTTACAATTTTTTTTTCGATAAATCTTTTCCAAATCTTTTGAAACCTCGAGGTGTAAACACAGCGAAAGCCGACCGAACAATGACGGCGCAGAGCGAGAAATCGATATGTAAAAAACCGCGCCTGACCGCGTTGCATGCCGGTATAGTCCTCACTCCTCCTCTGGGTTTTGGGATTACGGATTATTTGGCATTTTTGGGCAGGATTACGGATTAATGAGCACTGGTTAAAAAAAAAGATTATGGATTATTTGGATAGGATTTTAGGAATGCAAAGATCATATATTTTTGCTATTGAAAATAAAAATAAGAGGTAAAATTTGAGGTTTAAGAGGTCATAAGATGCCAGTCAATATCTCCATTATACTGGAGACACCATTAAAAGGTGCTGAAAAATTTTAATTATTGACCATTTCGCACATTTGAGATGGAACACACGCGAACTTCGCGCAAACACGTACACACGTAAAAATCTCACAACTTGTCAACAAGATGTGTTCGCAACAGGCTTGTAGCAAGCTTGTCTACAAGTTGTTGTAACAATGCTGTTATTTTATCAAATTGCTACAAGGTTGTCACTCACAACTTGTTGATATCAAGTTGTTGGAGCAACTTATAACAAGTCTGTTGAGCTCAACAACCTTGTAGCAAGTTGTCAACAAGCTGGAAACATTAAGCAGTGCGAACACATCCTGTTGACAAGTTGTTGGAACAGCATTGCTACTTAAGTCTGCTGCAGGTTTGTTACAACTTGTGCGTTTTTACGTGTGTATGTGACATTCATGAATCACGCGCATGAATCACTCGAGTGTCACTTGATCTCGCGTGGAATAATTTGACTGTTTACCCTAAAGGGATATTTTTGTTTATAGAAATGGGATAGGGATTATTTTTAAATTTGTGCTAGGATTATGGATTATTCAGACCCCCCGCCCCTAACAGGGCCTCTGTTATAAATAAATTGTCTCAACATCATGTGTGCAATTCTTGTGGGCGGAAAGTACGAAATTTATTTCAGTTGTTTAATTTGGTAAAGAACTCGACAAAAGAAGAGAGCGGTCTTTGGCTCAATCAAAATGTCATCGACTTCACACACGAGAAAAGGCCGAATGTATTTGGAGCAATTTTTCACCCAATATATAGACCGATTCCAAAAATAGTTGTCATTCTTTTTTCTCCCAAAATGAATTTCAAGTATTTCAAGACTATCAGTTTGACGAAATATAAACAAAACACCATGTATTCTTTTTGAGAAATTAAATCTTGAAAATACCGAAGTTTGTGGTAGATTTAAGACGAACGTTTCGGAAGGCTCAAATTTGGCCTGCATGTATTTTTTTTCAATCTTACACTTTGCTTTGCATAACAGGCTTTTTTGAAAAATTGTTTATTAGCCTGGTAATGCATCAAATCAGTTTTCGAATCGGTCAATGCTGTACAATGTATTTATGAATCTGAAGGAGTTGGTTGAAAACATTACACTGCAATAACATGGTAAAACATTACACTGCAATAACACATGTTCAAATAAACAAAGATAATTCAAATCTATCATCTATATTTACAATAATTTTTATTAATTAAAATACTCAACGACTTTATTAAAAGATAACCCCAATTTTTCCTCTTAAAATAAACTCTTGATGAAGTATTACAGTAATTTTTCTACCGGGTGGCCCAAAAAAAAGTACTCCTGTTTGATTCGTAATAACTTCTAAACAAGTAAAGTTTTTAAAGAGAAATAACTTGCATTAAATAGAGGAAGGACTAACTTAGATTTTGATATATTACAGTTGTATTTAACTTAAAAATTCACGGATATATTAATGTTAAAAATGGGGAGCATATTTTTGAATGTGTCTAAAATTAGCGAAAATCGGCATATCAAATATTAACTCCAGCGTTTGTTTGCTTAATGACATATTAGGCTAACTTGTATTTCAGCGAATTATCGTTAAGGTTTGTAAGGGATATGGCGTAGATTTAGACATCTTACATGTAAGTCTTAGCTCATTGTTTCCTGAAATATGAACGTTCGAAATTATGCAAGTATTTAATATTAGGTCTTTGCAAACTTAAATGTACATGAAAGACTGACCATGGAAGGCAGGCGCTTAAATTTTTCGTATTCTTAAATAGCCTAATTTTTTTATGTTTTTAATGGGTTCAAACAGACTGAGTAGATTATTTCTCGGTTAGAGCAGGATGAATATTATTCTTTATTGAAGGAAATAATATTTCTTTTTGCAAATACACATCACCGTATCAACGCTACTATTTTGTTACGTTTTGTTCCAAAAATGTTGCATGTCTCTGGGGAGTTGCTTAATTGTTATGTATTATGGAGTTGTATGGTTTGATTGTGTTTCATATAATTCTCAGTTTACTCCATGAACTTGCCAAGATTAAGAAAAGGCAAAAGAGTTTGGGTGTTCTTAACAAGATTTCAGAACGTTGCAGAAGTTAGAAGAGCTTCACAATTCCGTTGTGACAGCATGCCCTAATTCAGAACTACGAACGATCCAATGACGATCCTTCGTGATGCAGTGGTCTCATGAAATAAGGAAACGTATTCGTGCTAGGAACACACGCGAATTTCGGACGAATGAATCTTGCTTGTATTTTGTAGATATAATAATACTTTGTTTCATAATAAACAATTTGTCAAGTGTCATTTATTTACTGGTAATAGTGCATGTTTCAGTCGGGCAAATCTCGATTAATATTTGATACGCCGATTTTTGCATATTTCAGACACATCCAGAAATATCCTCCCGAATTTAAAGATTAATATCTCCGTGAATTTTTAAGTGAAATACAACTGTAATATATCAAAGTCTAAGTTAGTCCTTCCTCTATTTGATGCAAGTTATTTCTCTTTAAAAGCTATACTTGTTTAGATGTTATTACGAATCAAACAGGAGTACTTTTTTTTGGGCCACCCGGTATGATACATATATGTCACCCACAGTGTGCCATTGTATGACCAGCCATGCACTGATGCAGATGCTGTAAAAATCTAATATCAGGGACCGCAGAGCCTGTTTAAAAGTGTGGGT